CTTAAACTCTTGGGTACTCATACGACAATCGCAACGAATGGAAATTAAAATTAAATGCCAAGTAGATTTGTATTGGCCTCAAAGCGCCTTGTCGACTTATGGTGTTTATTTTGGGGCTTCAGTAATACATACATACATATATTAAACCTAACCTGTGTTAATATGAATACCAAATTAGGAAAGACTTTATAAATAGAATAAGCCTAAAATTTATAATTTTGTTGTGGGCACCTTAACTTACCAAAATGATGCACTATATGATCGCGCTCCTCTGACTCCTCTGGTACACCACCAATGCCAGCATCATGATCGAAGGCATGCATATCCATATTCTCAAAATCCATATTTTCCAAACTACCACTACTGTCTGCTCCGCCTCCTCCACCGCCATCGTTATAGTGATTTTGGCCATGCATTTCGATGGTGAACGTTTGTGCGATGGTATCACCAGCTGTGACGGTGACAAGCGGCCATAGACAAGCGGCCATAGACAAGCGGCAGTAAATTACCACCGGCATCTCCAACATCGCTCAGCGACGGCCAGAAGCTGTTAATACAAATTGCGGTAATAAACAACAAATATTTTGATATTTTACTTTTTCGTTTAATTTTCATTATACACGTTGACTGCGGTAATATATTTGTTGTATTTGTCGTTGTTGTTATTCTTGTTTTCGCTATCGTTCTCGCCGCTTTAGCAAGCATAATTCGCATCCTAAGCTGTGTAAAGGCAATCATGTTCGCCGATTTTGTTATTTTTTATGTTACGCACTTGCAAATATTTTCACGATATTTTCTACGCTAATTTGACTATTGCCGCAATCGTTACAATTACACGCATTTTTTTGCATCCGCTGTATGGTAGCTCCCTTCTCCGCTTTTTAGGCTACAGAAATTCTCTTTCACTTAAATTTTATTTCACTTTCTGAGGGTATCTCTCGAGATCTGAAAGCGAATAGAGAAAAATATGATGAAAATTATTGATACAATTCTATTTAATAATTACATATTACATATACTTATCTACATATATAAATTTGGACTATTGTAAATTCATTATATATGTAAGTATATGGTAATTGCTTCTACATAAATATGATTTAAAATCGTTTGAACTTGTATAGAAATTTTAAGGTTCAGATCTTAGTTGTTAAAGGTTAAATTCTCTACATGGAGCGGAAAAAGGGCTTTTGAATTTTGTCGCACGTCGATGACACCAATATCACTTGCAATGAAAACCACGTTACTAGTTCTACTTTCTCCAGGTTGGACAAAGCAACGAACTATATGTGTCTGTGACAGTCATAACTACGAAATCGGAGATAATTTCGTCTATCTTAGTACCAGCATTAACACCAACAACAACATTAGCCTCGAAGTTTATGAAGATATATGCATTTTTTCTGTAAGGTGTTCCCAAAAAATGAAAAAGTTAAGTGTCGAAAAAGATTTAAGTTACTTTTAAGTACCAAATTATGAAGAAATTGCGCAGAAACCGAAGTACTCGATTAAATTCTGTGTGAAACTACGTAAATCTGAGGCAGAGACTTTTGATATGATCAAGCAGGCTTACCCAGGTTTTGCTTTAGCAAGAGGTGGTGTGTTTCAGTGACAACACCTTTTTGAAAAATCGGGAAAAGGTTGCTTATGAAGGCCGTGCTGGGAGACCTGCGACTTCGACAAATACCGACTGACGAGTTGAAGAGCACCAAGTAAATATGAATATGTGAAAAAGTGAGCCGGAATTTTTGAATAACGTAATAACAAGTGACGAGTCATGGCCTAAAAAAGGCTGATATAAGGCAAACGTTTTGAGAAGACAAAGGGGATCCAAGCAGATTGTACCTCGGCACTCAAAGCTATTCCGGAGGATGCTTTCCGTGACGCCTTCAATGATTACAAATCGCGCTGGCAGCGCCGCATCAACGCATAAGGAGTTTTTAAAGAATTATAACGATTGGTTCAATAAACCTTTTTAAATCTTCTCAGTCCAATTACTTTCCGGACAAACCCTGTATGTAATTATTTTTCGTTCATTATATTATACAAAGTATTATTATTGAGTAATTAATTGCTTTTTCTGTCTATATTCAAAATTATGTTTGGTTTTCATATCGCTGAAGAGGCCTTCTGGAAGTATGTTGTTTCAAAGGGTACAAACTTTACTTGACTTTATTCCACATAGTTTTAAAAAAACCTATTGTTATTCTTAAGAACTGAGAACAGTATCACTCTATTGAGCTTACCGTTTAAACAGTCACGAACTCCTTTGTCTCAGTTATATGGTTTATTTGTTTTTATTTTAGCCTGATTTCGGCTGTCATTTTCAAGGCACTTAGTCAAGTAAGTGAATAATTATTTCTATATTATTAATCATGACAGCGATCCTAGTTATATTTGTGTGCCCAAAATGAACAGTTATATCGACAGCTGGCATCACTTTTTGCTGTCACCGCCTAAGTAAACTACATTATTCAGTTTGGGTCAAGATAATATAAGCACGTCACAAAAAAAGGAACAAAGGAAGCCACAATTAAATGGATACATAATGAACATAGCATAGAATATGGGGAGTAGTTAACAATGGACAATGAATGCAACACTAAAAATAAAAGCGAAAAATGCCAAACAGTGACAAAAAGAACAAATAAATATAAATCATAGAGATAAGCACCAAACAGGCAGACGGCAAAGTTAAAATAGTTAAGTGAAAGTAGACAAAAGAGAATGTATTAAATCTTATCTCTTCTTTTCTTCGTTTTCGAAGTTTTAATTCGCGCGCAACTAAACTCTAACTAAAAAGTAGTTGCGCGCGCTCTCTCCTTTTGCGATCGCTTAGCCATACAGACGTGGTAAGTGTGTTTCCAATTCGTTATATTAAAATTATATATATTACATGAAACCATCTGTTTCCTTACGATCAACCACATATACGGAACGAGCGAGCACCGTGCTCCACCACCCGAATTATTAATCAATGTGAATCAACAGTTCATTCGAATGAACTCGCTTCAGCTTCAAAGATAGTTTCCAGCGTAAAGTTATGCATTTAACAACTGCAAAATTTCAGCGAAAACTTTTGGACACTTTTTGATGTTGCAAGCAAATATGGTAAGCTAYTTTCTTCTTTGCTTCGCACTATGCTGCAGCTACAACATTAACAGATGAGAAGGGCATGACCTCTCCGAATAGATCAACAATAATTCATTATTTGGTTTCTGGTAAGAGCAAGTGCAACAAGCTAGCGAANTCCTTTTGCGACCGCTTAGCGATACAGACGTGGTAAGTGTGCTTCCAATTTGTTATATTAAAATTACATATATTACATGAAACCTTTTGTTTTTATTTAATATTTTGAGGAATCTTTTGTGCCGTCCCTTTCCTTACGGTCAACCACATCTGCGGAACGAGCGAGCACCGTGCTCCACCACCCGAATTATCATTGGTCCTTCGAGCCTTTATTTAAAGTGAAAGTGCATAATTTGCCCGATTTAGCAACTCGCAAGTTACAACCAAACATATTTTGGATTTGTGCTCTACAAGCTATAAGGCAATAGATTGGTAAATTTGTGCATAAGTTCTGTTCAAAACCCATGGTACTGTGTGAAGTGGAGACCAAAACTTATTTTTGGCACTCTCCCGACAAAATCCACGCACAAGACTGCAGGTAGTATTGTACTTCATTTAAGTACAACAATAAATACACCTGGCAAATGCACTAAGTATTTCACTTTGCAAATAACCACACACACTGTTATTCAAAAAAAAAAAACAAAAATCATTAATTTCGTGGACGCCCAAATCTCGTCTGGAGCGTCAAAAATCTCTCCCGATTTGTGTTTTCTTGTGGTTAATTTGAGTCTAGTCACGCTTCAATAAGAAACAACGCACTACTAATTAGTTTTAGTTTGTCCGTGAATGCTTCGGTAATTTTTGAACTTTTTTGCAACATATTTGCAAATATTTTAAATTTTAAGTTTTAGATCCGATTTTGTGCAACATTTTTGCAGTTCCGGTTCAATTTTCAAAACAATGGAATCCATCAGAGCATTTATCACAGCTGCAGACGCTCTACTGGAGTTTGAGGAGTCTTTTACTCCAACAGCAAACAAACAAAGTGTCTACTCTCTTGAAGTACGACAAACTGAACTGAAATCTCTGTCAGAATACAAGTTGTGTTTGCCAAAAGTGGATCCTTCCGACACAAGCTCAATAGACGATATTAAGCTTAAATATTCAAGCTGTTACCACGGTTATGTGTGTTGCGTGGCCTTGATGGGCGAACACATGCACAACCTCACGGCGTTCAACCAAAGCCCAACTTCAAATTCTACAGTGATTCAACCTGAGCGGTTACAACAAACTGTAGAACCCGTGAGGTATTCTATCAATTTACCGCCATGTGATACTGAAATATTTCATGGCGATGTTTTACAATGGCCCTCATTTAGGGATTTATTTGCCGCTATATATGGGAGTAACCCAAGGCTATCTTCGGTAGAAAAGTTATTCCATTTGAATCAAAAAACGCGAGGTGAAGCAAAAGCTATTTTTCGAAAGCGCCACTGACGAATGACTTATTCGCATTGGCTCGGAATAATTTCTTGTGTAGGTATGAAAACAAGCGAGTGCTTGTCAACACACAATTAAATTTATTATTCAAGCTTCCGCACATTTCTACAGAATCTGAGACCGAACTCAGAAATTTACAGCGGGAGATAAATAGCTGCATTTCAGCTTTACAAATCCATGGCATCAACGTAGATAGCTGGGATGCCATATTTACGTATTTGNTGGGTTTATGCGTATGCGTCCGTTTGCTCAATCGACTACATGGGGGTTTCGACGAAAGTTGTCCATGCGCGAACCACTTCCAAGCGAGTGGTTGCCTTTTTTTAGCACAACTGTATACGAGTATATYGCAATTACACCGCTAGCTCAAAGAAAATACTAAGTGAAACATAACCACATGATTGCCAATTGTCTCTCAAGAAATTATTAAACCAATCACTCTTCGCCACHAAAATGCGAGTTCTCACACATCGACTGAAACAACTGCATTTTTAAGTACTCAAAACATCGACTTGATGAATCGTTCTCGGTATAGTCCTGATTTAGAATGGAGTGACGAGATATTTTCAAGAAATTTGACATGGCATAATTCWTATTGGATCACAATRGCATATAGCTCTCATACAACCTGGCCGACCTGACTGATCAGGTTATACGACCTGATTGTTTGAGTTTGTGAAGTTTATTATATCTTCGCTGCAACCGATGTAAATTTTTTTTTTTTGTATTTTTATATAGTAAAAAAATTCATATGAAATATTTGTAAAAACGCATATATGTACAAACATCAAAAATAAAATTGCGAAATTTGTATTCGCATATATTATCGATGTTGACGCCGGCCTGCCCAATTTCTTTTGCCACGTCTGTATCGGCAGAACAATCTCTTCTTTTCTTCAATTTCGAAGTTTTAATTCGTGCGCAACTGAGCTCTAACTAAAGAAGTTGCGCGCGC